GGGGGGGAAAGATGGCGGAACTGATGCTCATCAGCGAGATCGCGGACCCGACGCATTTCTTCACCGACAATCTTCTGAGCCCGGAGGACTGGGGTGCGCGGTGGGCGGCTCCGGGGAGGGGAGCGGGCCATGGCAAACTGTGTCCCCGAGGCACGCGGGAAGAGGCGAAGGCCCAAAGAGGAAGGCTGGGAAATAGCGAAACCACCATCTGAAGGAGGGCGGAGCAGAGGGCCTCCCGTGGTTTCGGGGGATTCGGGAGTGGCGGAAGATCGCCCCTCTCGGCGAGGGCCATGGAGTGGTTCCGCGGCCGGGGAAGGCGGCGGCGTCGTTCCCGGGCTGGGTCATTTTTCAAGTGGGCGGGCGGTGGGTCTGGCCCAGCTGAGCCAATGAGGGCTGGGGCTGGGCTGGTGTGGGGTGTGCAGGCCGGGCGACCCTCTTGACACGCCGCCCCGCTCGCAGACAGCCCCTTGTACACTGCCTTGGATGAAGAGGCCGAGGAGCAGACAGAGCTTTTCCGCTGCGTGGAGCAGGATGTCCCGGTATTGCTCGCCTACCTTTTCTGTAAACTCGTGGTGGGTGGGAATGGTCCCAGAACTCGGACTCACCAAGCCAGATCTCACCTGGGATCACCTCTACGTTCTCTCATTCCTGCCCTCCGATATCCTCTCTTCAGTTCGACAGCGGCTCCCTGGATGTGGGGATGGATATCAGTCCCCCTGAACCTCCGTGGGACTCCCTGCCTATCTTCCCAGGTGAGAAAGCCTTTATGGTTCCCTTCATCTTTCCAGAAGCCCACATCTTCCCGCTGTTTGCCAAATCGCTGTTTTCCCCTGTATCCCCTCTCACCCCCTACATAACTGAATGTACATCCCTCTCTCTGATCCCTACTGATGTTCTTGCCCCGTGTCCTGGGGAGGGTTCCCTACCCCAAATTATTAGGCACTTTTTTAGATTCTTCTCAGACTATTTTACTAGTTATTTTCTATGCCCTCTTCCTCCAGATCTTCAGGTGAAGTCTGAGCCATCTTCCCCCTGCTCTTCCTCCTCTCTCAGCTCAGAATCATCACATCTCTCCACAGAGCCCTCCAGCCAGGTGAGAACCATCTCTTTGTGGCAGGACCTTTGGTCCATTCCCTTCATTCATGGATGCCAAGGAAATGATTTGTGTTCTATGAGTTATAAGGTGGGGGCTTCTGCGTTTGCCTGTTTCTTCATCACCTTCATTTTCCATGCCTTCCACTCTGGTTGTCTAGAAGTGAAGATGGAGTCTTTTTGGTTTTTTTTGGTGGTTGTGGGGCTTGAACTCAGGGCCTAGATACTGTCCCTGAACTTCTTTGTGCTCAACTAGCTCTCTACCACTTGGACACAGAGCCATTTCCGGTTTTTGAGTGATTAATTGGAGATAAGAGTCTCATAGGACTTTTCTGCCCAGCTTGGCTTTGAAATGTGTTCCTTAGATCTCAGCCTCCTGAGTAGCTAGGATTACAGGTGTGAGCCACCAGTGCCAGCTAAAGATGGAATCAAACTTCTTTTCTTTTCTTTCTTCTTTCGTTCCTTCATTCCTCCTTTCCTTTCCTTTCCCTCCCTCCCTGTCTGTCTGTCTGTCTGCCTGTCTGTCTGTCTGTCTCTCTCTCTCTCTCTGTCTCGCATGCGCGTGCGCCCTTCCTTCCTTCCTTCCTTCCTTCCTTCCTTC